GATGATTATAAAGAAGATGAATGAATGAATGGAAATCCAAAATGCGGGGAAAGGTTTTTTCTTGAATACAGAATAAATATTACTCAAACAAAAATTACTCCCAGTTAGAGTTTGGATGGTGTCCGACGGCTCCATCTGTCAATCATCCCAAACACATGGACCCGTGAGTGTGTAAGAACCAGCCGTGCCACCTGGTCCGTCTCAGCCATTTCAGCCTTCGCCTCCTCCTGTTCTGGTGACAGCGGCGCGGCGTGATCCTCCCAGTGCATTCTGGTCCGTCTGACGCAGCCTGTCCCGTGCGCACCTCCAGAATCACACTTCATAAAGCTGCAGGGGAGAGGTGCTGAGGCGCTGCTGTCGCCACCCGCGGCCCGGAGCCCTCAACGTCCGGAGACTGAGGCCAATCTGACGACGCTTTCAACCGTTTTATCGCGTTCTTCTGCTTCAAAGAGACATGCTTTGCTAAATCGACCGTGTTGCAACATTTCTTTCTACACCAGACAGATGTAAGATAGTGATGTCATTACTTTGACATGACAGAAGTGAGACTGTTTCAGATTTTAGATGCATGAATCTGAAACGCTGCCTCCCCATGTTTAGTCCTGACTCTGGGACCAGCAGGAGGCCAGTCCCTGTGCTCCTCAGAGTCCCAGCAGGAGGCCAGTCCCTGTGCTCCTCAGAGTTAGTTCTTATGGCACTGACATGGTTGGTGCGAGGCCATGGAGAGACTTTTACAGGAGCAGAGCTGTTTTAAAGTCTATTCTCTGAGCCCCAGGAGCCAGCTCAGGTCTCTGGACTAATGTTCTCTCTGAAATTACAGATTCAGACTTTCTGCCTGAGGGAAGAAGCTGGAACATGGCATTTCCAGAGGCCAGAAGAGTCATTGATTATTCTAAGAGCTGTGAACTTATATTTGATTCTGTGATTATGACTATAAAATTCTGCTAATGGGACAAAGCAAAATGATCCTGTTTTTAAAATATACAATAAATGTCTCCCTTGGAATGATAAAATAAATCAACAATTCATGAAATAAGACTAAATGGCTTTGTCCCATTGGAAAATCTTGTTTTAATACAGTCAGATTAAGATAAAAAGTTTCAAATTCAGACACAGGATCCATAAGTATTTTTTGTTTTGCCAGTGTAACATGGTACAGTGTGTTAAAGTCCATTTTGTAGCCCTGGTCAGCTGTTGGGGCTGAAGCCGCGGCTGCCTCATGTATAATTGACGCAGGTGAAAATGATCGCACACACGAACCCTGCAGCGTGTCGGCTTATTCATGAATCCGAGCGCGGACGACGTTTTCCAGACATTACTTTGGTATTTCCTGAACCATGAACAGATGTGTGGCCTAAATACTGCCCTAAAAGTCACTTTGTTTTGCCTTAACTGTTTTAATGTACAGTGAGGACTCAAGACCTGTTTGAATAGGAATTACACACACACACAAATATACATACACACACACACATGCACACACAAACACACGCACATGAACATATACATACACACGCACACACACACAAATATATATACATACACATACACACACACATACACATACACATATACATACACATACACACACATGAACATATACATACACACACAAACACACACACCTACACATATACATACACATACACACACATACACATATACATACACACACATGAACATATACATACACACACATACAGTACATACACGTACAAACAAACACACACAAACACACATACACACCCACGCACACACACACACAAGCACACATGTACATACACAAAAACATGCACACACACAATAACATACACATACACACAGGCACGTACACACAAACACACATATACAAGTACACAAACACATACACACACACGTACTCACACACACACACACCCACACGGCCAATTACAGTGCTGCTGCTGTCAGGGATTATGGGATTACGGCCGCTGCACTTCTGTTCTTATCGCTGCTCCTTTCAAAACGTCGACTCGCTTTTATTCCCGTCTCTGTCCTGGATCTTCGCCCGTTCATTAGTTTTTTCTCAGTCCTGCGCAGGTGAATTCAGGCGGATTGTGTGCGGTGGAACTTTGTGTGTTTTTCAGGATGACCAGGGGAAGTGTGTGACCAGAGGAAAACAAGTTAAAAATCAAATCAAAAACGTTTTATTCATTTATTTACAAAATCACAACAACAAGTCACAGAACCACCAACTCCCAACAGCAGACTGGTTTCAGACTGGAGACTAGTCCTCAGGTCCAGGGTTTCGGACTGGGGATTCGTCCTCAGGTCCAGGGAGTCCAGGGTGTCAGACTGGGGATTCGTCCTTAGGTCCAGGGACTTCAGGGTTTCAGACTGGAGACTAATCCTCAGGTCCAGGGTGTCCAGGGTTTCAGACTGGGGACTAGTCTTCAGGTCCAGGGAGGGTTGAGTCCCATCAGTGCGGTCATGCAACAGACCAATGAACATGGGAAGATAATGGGGGAATAACAATAAACAGACTACGTTTAAAACTGGCAGTGAAGAACAATTATATTTTTCCAGCAGCTGTGAATGTAAAACAAACAGTTGAAAAGACAGTTGCAAACAAATGAGAATGTTTAATGGTTAAGAGTCTGGTTCATGTTAGCAGCATGAGGGTGTGATGCTACTGCACATGCTAGCTGTATGAGGCTATTGGCTAAAGTAAAGTGACAGTGGTCCCAAATATACAACCACTCTCGCAGTATCTTCCGGCTTCAGCCTTTCTGTAACTGTTGCTAATTCCCAAACGATCCTCTCGTCCAACCTCGCTGCTTGGAATACGCCATGTTCCCCAGATGATCCCAAACCGGAAAAAAACAACAGAAAAACAAGTCACGTTCTTGCTGCTTGCTCAGAGACGGCGGCGAGGAACCTTTGAAACTTGGGCCCAAACTCGCTCCTGGAACAAGATCAAAAACCGTGCGAAATGAAAAGTCAACAAAGGGATCGAAAACTGCGCGAAAACCGTGACTGAGCTAAACCCAGTCTTATGACATGGGATAAGCGGCGTAAAGCATAACTAAAGCGTTCATTAGAAGGGGCCCGCGGGTTCCCAGAGGTGTCTCGCCGTGGACCTCCGAAGCCGGCGTCTGTTAGCGATCAGAGCCCGGTCTTTCAGCACAGGTGTCCGCCGTCCGCACTGCTCTGATTTACTGTTCCCCCTTTTGCAGCAATCAGTGACAGACTCAAGCTGCGCCGGGTCAGGGCCCTTATAGCAGCGAGTTATGACCAAATATCCAGGTTTTCCAAAATGTTTTTACTGTAGGTGTAAGCCCCGAGAGACAGAGTGTAACGTTAGATACAGTTGTGCTCATAAGTTTACACACCGTGACACTGGACGCTTTCATGGACAGTTTTCAGACAGTTTGATTGATGGTTGGATCAAGACACGAATGAAGGTATTTTTGTCTGACTGATTTTACTCTGTGGGCGACAGTAGCTCAGTTGGTAGAGCATTGGCCTTAAGGCCAGAAGGTTGTGGGTTCAATTCCCACCTCTGCACCTTCTCCACCGACTCCCACTGATGACTGCTGTCGTTGTGTCCTTGGGCAAGACACTTAACCCCACTTTGCCCAAAGCCCCCACTGAAAGATCAAGGCTATGCTCACACTCAGAGAGTAGCCGTCCTCCTGTGGACTCACCACCTGCAGAGGGTCAGTGAGGGGCTGGTGCTATGAGACTTGGGTGGCATCTCTGACTGCCACCCCCCTGACCCAGAAATGGATTAAAGGGAAGAAAATGGATGGATGGATGGATGGATGGATGGATGGATTTTACTCTATAGCTGCGTAAAATGATAAATTCTGAGGTAATTATTGTTTGAATCGAGTGGTTTGAGGACATTATACCTGTGTTTGAACAAGATTCTTCAATGGGACAAAGCCTAATTTCAACTGTTGCTTTATTTTCTCATTTCAAGGAAGACATTTCTTGTTTTTTTCTACAACATGATAATTTTGCTTTGTCCTATTGGCAAAACTTGTTTAAAGGCTCAGTCAGAATGGGCTCAAATTAGGAGGCAATTGGACAAATTCGAGCAATTTTTATCTTGTTTTCTATCACTTTTTGCAGGTACCGATTGTGCAAGATGTCACACTTTAAAAAGAGATGGAGGTAATTTTCATCAACTTTGAGAGACAAAATGAAAAACACATAGAGCCATTGGTCCAATAAATATTAATGGATGTTGTTCCTAAACGTTGTTTTCACACACTGCTGCTGGTATTTTGGCCCATTCCTCCATGCAGATCTCCTCAAACACAATTATATTTGGAAACACAGATCTGTATTGTATCTGATTGGCTGTACGGTGGCTGAGTGGATAGCACTCTCGCCTCTCAGCAAGAAGGTCCTGGGTTCGAATCCCGGTCGGACCAGGGCCTTTCTGAGTGGAGTTTGCATGTTCTCCCCGTGTCTGCGTAGGTTTCCTCCGGGTACTCCGGTTTCCCCTACCACTAAAAATATGTCCAATAGTTCTGGCATGTGCCTCCTGTACTGG